CTCTCTCTCTCTCTCTCTTTCTCTCTCTCTCTCTCTTCTCTCTTTCTCCTTCTCTCTTTCTATCTTCTTGAGAAACAGCCTCGACAAAATGACGAGGGGAGGAAGGGCCATCGGTGTCACCGGAAACAGCAGGTCAGCGAGACGGAAAATACTCTGTTGCTGAGGCAACGCGGCTAAAAGAACACGCGCGAGATCCTTGTCCGAGAGAGCGGAGGAGAGTTTCCTCCGCCGTTCCATCCTTCCTTTTACTCGTCCTCCGTCCGTTACCCCTTATCCAAGCTTCCTCCTGAAACTGCTAACGACCGAATCCACCGGGAACATTGGTCACGATAGCTTTACCCGCACGGAAAACCGCGAATTTCTCCCAAAATGTTATCAATCGGTGCTACCCGATTTTTCAAAAATATTAACAAAAATAGTTCTCGTTGCAAAATCGGGTCTTTTAATCGTAGAACAAGTTGCAGAACAACGCGTGATTTTAATTTCGAACGCGCGACCTCCTTGCCTCAACCTCGCGAATCTTTTGTGTACTTTTAATAAAAATACAAGAAAAAGTGCGCAAAGAGTCTGAAAGCCGGTCTTGTGTAAATTAATCGCCATTATATTCAAATAAACGCGTGATTTTCGACTTGAGAAGACCGATGGTAAAGACCTTCCATTTTTTTTTTTATTACTATGTTTATGAAACAAATATATTGCATGAAACCAATCATGAAACTTACATCATATAATAATGTAAATTCTTTTTTACATTCATACAAAAAGAATTTATTAAAAGTTACACTCAAATTTTATATTACGTTTTATATGAATATTTTGTTTTGTATTACATGTTGTTCTGAGCAAATTTTGATTATTCTTTTCGTATTTCTTTCCTATTTCTTGTCTATCTGGATAACTTCCTCTCTCCGCGAACATGAAGCGCGAGAGTTGGATCGTTGCGCTATTTCTATGTCGTCCTTCTATGTGACAAATATTAATGACAAATGAACCATTTGAACCGTCCACAAAGGATGCAGCCTACAAATTGAGTAAAGTTTCCAGATAGACTTTTATGATTATCATGACGTGTGGCAATCGACAATAGAAACTTCTCAATTTTTTAAATTATTTTAACGAAACAAATATATATTGTATTGAATTAAAATCATTAAATTCACACCATACAATATTACATGTAATAATTTTTTATTAT